TGTGAGAATGATGCAGGACCTGGTGGTGTTTTGTCCTGTTTCACATAGTGTTGCTGTGACTTGAACAGACTCAGGGGCACTTAACAACAACCAGTGAAAAATGAAGCCTTGGTTCTTGAATATAGCTGACTAAAGGAAGAGTCTTTCTCCATTAAAAAAATGGATGCCATCCATACAGCCATGGTCAATGAAATGTTGGGGGTAAGAATAAGCAATCTTCCCCCTAGGTTTTTGAGCTATTTCTCAATAGCTACCCTAAATTTTCAACACTTTACGCACAAATTGTACAATTCAGTGCATGCACATACCACCCACTTAGTGAATACTATGCGCTTCACATGCCCCAACTTGCCTGGACATTAACCCCCTTCAATAAGGTAAAGGTCTTAGTACTGCTAACCCCCTTCGCTGTGTACCTGGGCCCAACCTGCAAAGGAGATGAGCAAAGGCAAGCTACTAACAGGAGATAGATTAACCTGATGCCACTGATCTGTTACCATCATGAATGGTGTTCTGATTAAGTAACAAGATTACTCCTTTTATAGTCAAACAAAGCAAATACGAGTCTAAGCAAGAGGAACTTGTACAAGGATTATATTTTGGATGTGTCCCTTAGCAACAAGGTCAGCAATTTGCTTACAGTGTTTTGCCCAGCAAAGCAACCAAGGGCCTTCTTCACGGATGCAAATCTTCCATGAGTGAATTTTACATTAACAGTTCACCAAAACTAATAAGTATGACTAGTTGTTCTGAAACCATGAAAATGACCAGTGTAGTAAAAGTTCCAATAGCCACAGAGACTTGCGTTGGTGGTCTTTTACTGAGTATGATTGATTACCTATGTCTTGCTTTTCCAGCAGGCAGTTCCCACATAGGTCTAGTGCCCAGTACTAGAGCTACAGCCCCACAGGCTACTAAATGTAGTGCCAAACTTTTAGACAGAGGTAGGTTCTGATAACCACTTCTGCACATACATGCCAGCTCTGAGTTTACTCCCAAGGAACTTCAATGAGCTTTGGTCAACATCAAAGTAATGTTGTAAATACATGCTGGCTACACTATTTTGTGAGACAACCAACATCCATTGTGCCTACTATGCCTGTTTATCTGTCATGCCACCTGATATAGGAAATAATAAAGCATGAGTTCAGACAGCAGTTTTCAAATGTAATGTCATACATTCAATTTACCATCAATTTCACAGTCTCGCTCCAGGGTACCTGGTAGTGCTTGGTTAAGTTGCCATCTGCTAATCAATAAGTTTGCAGTTTGAACACACCACCCCTCAGAAAGCTGGAAATCTGCTCTAAAGATTGCAGTCTAGAAATTCTGTGGGCCAGTTCTACTCAGTCACATGGAATCACTATGAGTCAAAAGTTGAATCAAGGACACCTAACAACTGCAGCACACAACTTTGTATTCAGAGAAAGGTCAGGCTCCTGATTTGAATGAGAACTTAGGCTCTGAGAATGGTGCAAAGTGGTGCCTGCACAGTGGCTGTGTGAAGACATGGATTTGGAGAAGGATGAAAACCAAACATGCAATTATGCCACATGAAAATGGGCATAAAGGGGAAAATAGACGTGTAGAGAAGCAGGACCTCTGCCATCAGAGATCCATTGCAGTAGGCTGCCTTGTGCTAGCAGCTGTGTGCCCAGAATCAGGTGGATAGTAGTCTTCTCCACCCTACATATGCACAAATAATGCTTCATCAGTATGTCATGCCTCAGTCCTTGTGAGTGTGGAGTTTTCGCATGTGCCATGCCTTATAAATTTCCCTGGGAATTTCCTTTAGAGCAAGCAGCCCACATGAAAGTTATATGCCAGGCAAGCCTACAACCATTTCCTGATTCCTTGATTATTTTGCAGGATTTATTCTCAAGGATGTCTGAATTATAAAACTAATCTCTCTGTATTACAAAACTAATCTCAGCAATATATCTATAATGTGTTTTGTCTGAGCTACATCAAAACCCCACTGATTGTTAAAAACATGAGTATCCTAGTGTGCCATTATTGTTTCAATTAATATAAGATTAGAGATAATATAGTTAAACAGAAATTTTAAATGAGTTTGAAAGTACCTAAAAAATTCCATGAAGGAGAATCCATATCCATGCTGTTCAGCAATTCCTGCACAAACGACATTTGCAGATGCTCCGATCAAGGTCCCATTGCCTGAAATTAAAATCAAATCTCAATTTGTTTTGAGGTCAGGTTTATGTTCTCCTGTGGGGGGAAGTCAGATCCTTGCTGCCAGACTGCTGTCTCATCCCACCACAGGGGTGGCCCTGCTCCCTGCTGCTGGGGACAATGGACAGGCTCCTGTGGGCGGAGTTCGCATCCTACTGATAATGGTCTCTATCAGTTGG